TGACTGTATCCATGTTGTGCACTCTAGGCTATTGCTATTACTTTCTTTTTCCAGTTGCAGCGGTTTTTTATTTATTTATTTATATATATATATATATATATATATATATATATAATTTAAGATCTCTATCATATTAATATAAAACATAAATGGGGGTTACGCTCTCTTTTTTGGGTGGTCATGACTCATGATGAGGAATTTTCCCATTTGAGTTGCGTGTAGAATAATGAGTGTGAACAAGTTGAAGCACGAGATTCTTATTCGAAATTTTTGGCAAAAAGACTCACGGGGCATTCAAGATGGATATTGGATATAGAAACATGATGTCAATAAAGACAAATTTTAATCAAAGAGTGCGCCATTACTCATTGCTCTTGTTCAAATCTTTTCCACATTATCACATTGCCACTTTGGAAATATTTGGGATAATAAAATAAATTTAAATTTAAATTTTCCTTTATCACCAAGTGTTTGATATATGAAATATTTTTATATTTTAAAAATATTTAAAGTAGGAATTTTAGTTTTTCATATTTGATAGTTTTTTTTTTTATTTTAAAAAAAGAAGAAGAGATTCTTGTGGATTTAATAAATTTTTTCAACTTTTAAAAATAGTTTAATAGCATATTTGTAATAAAATTTAAGTAAATAAATATATATAATGAATTTATTTTAATAGAGAATGTTTTTGTAAAAAAATATTTATAAATTCATAAATATATTATTATAATCAAACATAAAAATTTTTAATTCTCAAGAATAATTAATGAATATTCTCATAAATTTTTATAAGTAACTAAGCATATTTTAACTATTCTTAAAAATTATAATTTTCAAGATTTGTAATTTTTTGAAATCATAATTTTCATCTTATCTCTTATCAAACGTCTTTTTAGAGATATCCATCTTGTAATTTGAAAACAAAAAAATTATTAGAATCAGAAGCTGACTTTCTTTATTGAAAAATATCCCATTGAATGCTTAGTTATGAATTTTGATGTGAAAAAACTTGGGGCAAAATAATCCTATTAGAATCTTTTACTAATCTTTAATCATGAGTATTAAATGTGTTTTATATTTTTAAATAATAAATATTTTATTTTTCATGTAATGCAATTTTATAAGAGAAAAAACATGATAATTTAGGATAATATTCACGTTCTTGAAATTTTAATCCCTACAGGAAAAAGAATGAGGAAAAAAAAAACTTACAAGAAACTTTGTAAGAAGATGCAATCTTGCCCCTTTTTTAATTATCATATTATATCACTTATTTTATCTAATGTTAAATACGATTTTAATCCATGAATTTTTGCTTATTTCATTTTTAATTTTTAAACAAATTTTTATTAATTTTAATTTTTACAATTTTTCTGTATGAATAAAGAATATTGACATCAAGACTAACATAACGGTGGGAGAAGTTGAGATATTAAAAATGAAAATCAATTGATATTATACTTAATTTTTAAACTTTAAATAGTTGAATTTGTAAGAATAATTAATTTTTAATATTATATTTATTATTTAAAAATTTTTAAAAAAATTTAAAAAAAAAAACTATTTATTTATAAATAGATAAATTGATAGATATAGAGAGATATAGAACAGTGTTTTAAAACCCGGACCGACCCGGCCGGTCGGACCGGTTGGACCGGGAACCGGTGGTCCAGCCGATTCGAATCTTAAGTTGGATCGGTTATGCAGTTGACCCGTTTCAAATCGGATTGAATCGGTCAATTTTCCGGTTTAACCGGTGAACCGGTGAGTCAAACCGGTGGGTCAAACCGGTTCAACCACCTTTTTTTTTAATAAAATTTTTTAAGGGACCATAAATCACAAAAATAATAATAATAATTGAATCTCTTAATAGAAAAGTAAGAAGTCTTATTAAATATAACAATAATTACTTGTTCTAATATATTTGTTTGTAACATATACAACTTAAATAACTTTTATAGTATATTATTAATTTTAAATTATATATTTAATAATATAATATCTATGTAAATATTACATATATTATTTTGTGATATTAATTGCAAGCATATTATATATGTACATATTATTTATATTTTTAATTTGTATTAATATACCGTTCAACATATAATTTTTTACGTATTTTTTTATAAAATAAAAATAAAAATAATTTTAAATAAGATAGAAAAATTAAAATTTAAAATAAGATATGAATTTATTAAAATTTATAAGTATAAAAAATATTTAATATGAATATTTTTTTAATATAAATAAATAAAAACCGAGTCATGCGGTTCAACTAGTGACCCACCGGTTCAACCTTTGACCTACTGACCCAGTACCTTAACCGGTTCGATGACCGGTCCGATTTTTAAAACTATGATATAGAGTATAAATAATTATAAAAATGTTGGTGGGGTTGAAAGGTCCTAAAATGAGGAAGATTACTATGAGTCAACTCATTGAAGCATTATAGAGAGCGTGATTTCAGGATAACATCAATGCGTGATGTGTAAACGGCCAATCAGAAAGTGTAGTAGCATCAACCATGTGTTGTTCTTGTCCTTGGAGTCACAAAAATTTTGGTCAAACCCGTGTATCACACGGTTCAATTTTCAAAATATTTATATGAACTCATTTTAAAAGACAACATAAAGAAAAGGACCTTCTTATCCGATTAAAAATAATTAAAATAGTATCATAAGGTTGGCTTTTCCACCCAAATAAATAAATAAATAAATTTCATAAAATAAATTATTTAAAATACAATTTATCAAAATAAATTATTTTTGTCACATTGTCACAAAGAAAATACTTGTAACCTCCAACATTTTGTGTAATGTGCAATTTTACAAAGATGGCGTTGAGGACTCGAGACCCTTTCGATATAAAACACTTCAAAGAAAATGCTTGGGTGAATAAGATAAGCTTGAGGGAATGAGTGAGTAAGTATAAAAGAAAGAACTCTCATTCATTTGTTTCACTAGGTGTAGTAGAGTTAAGTAATTGAATTAAGTTGATAGTGCGTATTTCTGTTGTTGTAGGTTGGTGTAATTTAAATCTCCTTATTTGTTGTCCAATTATATCATCAAGTAATATTTTTAAGTTAAATTATTTCATGTTGAAGGGTAATTAATTTTTTTTTAGTTTATAATAATTCATTTTTATTTTTTAATGTTATATTATGATTATTTTGCAAGTTGTTTGTTGGTTTATCATATATAAAAAGATGTTGTTGATTTTGAAATTTTGTTGTAGTTTAAATTTTTAT